TTACTAGATTAGTAAAAGCTGAAAAATATGAAATGGATAATTTATTAAAACATTTTTCAAATATAATATTACTATGCAAGTCAGTTCTCTTTTATTTTATCATCTTTTTACACCTCAAATTGTTTTTTTGTTTGTTGGTTTTCTTTTTCTTTTTTTTTTTTTTTTTGAGATTTTTGCTGTAGCGTGCCTGTATTTGCTGGAGAGACAGAGGGAAACAGTGAAACAGATAGTAAAAGTACTTAGGTACTAAAATTAAAATGATAGAAAATTTTGTTTAAAATAGGAGGGAATAGGAACATCATTGGTCTAAGGTTGAACTGAGGGCAAATACAATTACCACATTTGTTTCACAATTGTAGGATGTATAATTGTTGCAGTGTAGCCATTCTGGGTGATGATTTCTCTGTCTCTCTGTCTCTCCACTGAGCATTGCCCTATAGCAGAGAAATCACTGCCCAGACGAGATGGCCATACCTAACCCCTTCTCCAGTCTCCTCTTGGGATTTCTTTGGGGGCATACAAGCACATACACCTGGGGTGAGTTTCATGCCATGGGGTCCAGGACTTTATGCCATCTGCTGGTCCCACAACCTGAAATTGTTCTTTATGGTGTTCATCACAGGTTGTTGCAATGTTAATTTTTATAACACTTTAAACCTGACTCCTCTTTCCTCTGGATTGCCATTGCCATGAAGAACAGAGAGATTTTTCCCTAGTCTTCTCTTCATTTTATCTCTAACATGTTTTATCTCCTAATAATCTCTCCAGTAAATATTTTATAAAAGATTTTGAATCGTTTCATGAAAATATGCAATGTGCTATACCACGAAAGAGAAAAATAGCAAGTGAAAATAATTTTGTCATCCTCAGGGTTAGTTCCATTACTCCATTATATATCTCGTTAGTTTTATAAATAATGAATATTTTTACACTTTTAATGCACTCTTACAATCAATTTGCTCTGATTTTGTTTTAGCAGAAGATTAGTATTCCTCTTCTAATTCATATTCACAATGTAAGTTTGCCCCTTTAAGGTAACTTTGTGAAGTTAAATGGCAATACTAATTTGAATTACGTGGATTTATTACTCAATATTCGTATTCTAATTTAATTTTCGGTTTTAATGTTTCTGAATGATTTCACCATCTCTTCTAACACTTTCCATGTACTTCATGAACTGCAGCCAATCACATCTTACTGGGAGATAAATTAGACTGAAGTAAATGTCACTACTTCTTTCTCTTTCTGGAGCTGCTCAGGGAGCCTTTGTCTCACCTGGAAAAAAAACAATATGTTGCACATTTAAGTTCTTAACATATGGGAAAGCAGCATTAATAAGATACATTGTATGTTAGGTAGACCAATGTCCGGTCTGATATATCATTATCAGGGGTCCTCGACTTTCAATAGTTTTGCTTTGGTAGGTTACACATTATACCATTAATTGACCTATGCCAGAATTTAGAATGAAAAGAAATGAATTTTTATCAGTTTTTCATAAAATTAAACAGAAAACATTGTTCTAATTGTTAAAATTTTAACATACTTTTACAAAAAGTTTAAACATACTAGGTGAACATGAAGGTTTATTAAGCATGGCTAGAAGATGGTCATTTTAATATAAGTAGCAGTGTGAAAAAGGAGCCTTAAAGTTACAATTACTTTTTATTTTAGAAATCACAAACGTATGAGATCTTAGAAATCAATAAAAGCTTGAGATTGTCAAACATGATCTGGCAGCTTGCCATTCATGCCAGGCATGGGTATGTGCATGCCCAAAATCTTGAGAGGAGAATGGAGGAGTAGGATTGTAGTGTGGCCATCCTCCTGGGGGTATGATTTCTCTGTCTCTCTGTCTCTCCAGTGAGCACAATTGCCCTATAGCCAACAAACAAACAAACAAACAAACAAACAAACTCGGAAAAAACTTTTTTAAAAACAAAACATTATTTAAAAAAAATGAACTTCTGGGGCCAGCAGGTAGTGTGATGGTTAAGGTGTTGGACTCCCACATGGCCAACTGAGGTTCAAGTTCCAGACTTGACAGCTTGCTTTCTCATTTTTTCTCTCTCTCTCTGTCTGTCTCTCTCTCTCTCTCTCTGTATCTCTCTAGTCAAACTAAAAAATAATAATAAATTAAATAAAATAATTCCTTTTAAAATGGACTTCTTTGCCTTTCTTAAATTAACACTAGATTTACTGTCTCTTCAAAATAATAAGTGTGAAGAAACTGTTTGAATGTTAATTGAGTAACTTTGTACAAGGATACAGTATTGAACTAGCCACTGTTATATTCGGAAGTCCTTAAAAACATTGTCATCATGGATTGATGTCTGAATAACATATGCTAATTTTATTCAAAACTGAGCCTGATCTTTACAAAAAGACACCTTGGTAAGACAGTGATTTCTAAAGATGTTGGGAGCTCAAAATAGAACAAGAAATGAGGACATGCAACTCACTGGCTCGGTCCCACCATTATCCCTCTTCCAAAGGGGCTGGGGAGTTTACAGAATCCCTTGGGCTGCCAACAGCAAGAAGCCTGTGAAAAACATGGAGCTAAAAATTCACATTGCTTCAGACTTCAGGATTTTGTTGGTTGTCAGTTGACATTACCAGTGCTCAGCAGGCACTTGTCTGACCTTAAATTCTTAGAAGAGAGAGTGTACTCACTCCAAGGTGTGAATTTTGAGAACCCTGCTTCAGAGGCAGGGAAGTAGAAGAATTGTCAGAATGATGGTGAAGTATTAAGAAGAAACACATTCAGCTAGAGGAATCTTGAGTACAGAGCTCTTAATAGCTTAAGGAGAAGAAAAGCTTCAAAATCACTGTGTTAGATTCTAAAAAGTAATAAAAGAAATGTTTTTTAGTCTAGATAACAAAGATATATATGCCTTATGTACAAATAACATGTCGATACTTTTTTATTACAAAAATGAAATATTCTAAAAACACATAAACCATTCTAATTTGTCTTTCCCCTTATGAAAATATGCTATGCTAGTCCTTGTTATTTCACCTTCTTAGTGGGCTCCCCTATCAGAAAGTCGAGTTGTTTATTTTCCTTTTCAAAGCTGCAGAATATTTCATTGTTTGGGTGTGCCATTTATTACTCAACAGTTTGTAATTGATACATTTAAGGTGTTTCAAGTTTTTTCCTGTGTTTCTGAATTATAAATTTATTTTTAATAGTATACTGAGTTATAACTTACAGACATGGAATGTATCCATTTACTGTTAATACACACAAATTCTCATTTCCATGCAAAATAATGATTAGGTAACCAAACAACACATTATATGTGGAAAATCAGTCTGAACAACTATATCAAGTGTAACTTAAAAAAAAAAGTAATAGGATAAGAATTAAGTCCTAATAATTACTTCAGTAAGATTTAACATTTAAAAAAAAAAAGATTTAACATTTAGAAATGCAAATTAATTAATTCACTCTTAACAGTGTGATTATAATAGATCTTGTTTTCACATTTTTCTAATTTTTCTCACTAGATGCATACATTTTCATTCTCACAATCTTCTATTCTTTAAAATTTATCCTTATTTATAGATACTGTTCCTTAGGGCACAGACATTCTCACGTAATAGGTGTTCACTGAGACCTTGTGTGTTAAGCAGGACTGGGACCCCAGGGCTTTCAGACCACAGTTCCTCAGTATAGAGGTAGATATTTTTGAAAAGTTATACTCCCTCTTGATTTATTCTTTTTTTTTTTTTTTTTTTTGGAGAGGTTTTTGCTATAGGGCGCGTGCGCTCGCCAGACAGACAGAGAGACAGAGAGACAGAAAGCAAGAAATCACCCCCCAGGGGGGATGGCCACGCCGCAATCCCTTCTCCTCCATTCTCCTCTTGGGATCTTGGGCACGCACGCCCAGAGCCACCAGGTGCGAGTTTAAGCCACCGGGTCCGGGACTCGAACCGCCGTCGACTACATGGGAGTCCAGCGACATAGCCATTACGCTAACTGCTGGTCCCTCGATTTATTCTTATACCAGTCTTACAGAGAGTAGTTCTTAACTGTAGAGAACGTGTGAACTCTATGTGTTTTTTCCCATAGCTGGATAGGAAGCAGACTGACATTTTCCACAGAGACACCAAATCAGGAAGTATAAGAAATTTCATTTATTTCTCTTTCTTCTCTTGTATATCTCCAATGCTATTCTCTCTCTCTCTCTCTCTTTTTTAAACTAGTAAAATACCCTTTCAGGCTTTCATCATCTCTGTGATTATATTTCCTTTTCAGTATCTCTAACATTAGTTCCTATTTTCCTCTAAACCATCCTCTTCATTCCATTCACTTTTTCTTATATTACTCCCATTCCTCAAATTTTTCCAGTTCATAATATATACTGCGTTATGATTCGGTTTTCTTTTACTTTTCTGTTTTATCTGCTTCCAGTACTTTAATAATGTATGTTCTAACCACATTTGTGTGTAATAGTTTCAATATTCCATGGAGCATGCTTTTCATACATTATGATCCCTTGGAGTACACATTGTCTTAAAATCTCTCTCTCTTCTTTTTCTATTTTTCCCTTTTTTTTTTTTTGGAGAGATTTTCACTGTAGGGCGCGTGCGCTCGCCAGACAGACAGAGAGAGACATAGAGACAGAAAGCGAGAAATCACCCCCCAGGGGGGATGGTCATGCCGCAATCCCTCCTCCTCCATTCTCCTCTCAGGATCTTGGGCATGCACGCACATGCGCCCGGCGTGAGTTTTAAGCCACTGGGTCCGGGACACGAACCGCGGTCGACTACGTGGGAGTCCAGCGACATAGCCATTACGCTAACTGCTGGTTTCCTATTTTTCCCTTTAAGATACAGTTTCAAAATTACTGAGAGAGATCCAGCCATCTTAACCACCACACCACTGGCTGGCCCTGCCTTGAGAATCTTATACTGTCAGAATATTCAGATAAAGCTCAGAATTTTTGAGAGAGCTAATGAATCACAATCAATGGAATCTTTTCCCTACTGATAAACTTTTAGGTTGTTTCAATGTTTTTCAAGTTATGAACACTGCAGTGAATATTATAATACGAACATCTTGTGAACACTGTGAGTATATTTGACGATATAAATATCTATAAGTGAAACTGATTAAGTCAAATAAATATGTCCAATTTGCATTTTAATATATACTCCAGAAAAGTCAATATACAAAATCTCCTGAAAGTTTTTTGAGTAAAGTTTCCTTAATCCTTCACCAAAGTTATTTAATAGGTCATATACCTGATAAAAGAGAATTATGAGAATTGAATGTCTCATTGTTGTTTCGATTTCTATTTCAATTTTTAAATTCGTCATTTGTCATTTTTACTTTATCTATTTAGAACTGCCAGAATATACTTTCCTCACATCTTCAATTGAGTTGTCTGTTTCTACTAATCAATTTGTAGGGGATAACTATATATGATGGATATTGGTCATTTCTATGTCTTTTCAATTATGATTTCTTTTTTTCTGAGCATTTTGTAATATTTTTGCAATTTCCTCTCTTGTTTCTGTTGGAAATGCATTTGTTAAGGCCAATTATTACTCTTTTGTAGGAAATTTATTTTTCCTTTGTGGTTACTTTTAGGAATTTCTCTTTGTCTTTAATGATTAGAAGTTTCTAACTGTGTTGCATTGAAATAAAGGACTATTTTTATTTATCTAGGTTAGGTTTTCTTCCAGGGAGCTTTTCCATTTGGATAATTTACGTTTGTCATCTACTCTGGGAAAAATCATAGTTCCTTTGCATTCACTCTATAGTCTCTTGTTAAAATATTTATATCAAACTAAATTTCTCATTTTATCAAACTTCATGTCCTCAGTTCCTTTCAAAATATTTTTCTGCCTTTATTCATAGTAATTTAGTTAGGTAGACTATATTGCCCATTTGTTTTCTTTTTTTTCCATTAGTTTTCTATATAGCTTTGTCTAATTGCTGTTTAACTTGCCCATTTAAAAATTTATATACATGTATATCATATGTATGTAATACATATATTACTTCTTGAAGTTCTGCTTGCTGTATTTTAATGTTCTCTACTCAATTTTTAAGTCTATTTACTATTTTTTTCCAGAGACAGTTATTTTTGCTATAGGGTGCATGGGCAAGCAGGGATTGAGAGAAAGGCAGTGAGAAATCACTCTCCAGGAAAGATGGCCGTGGTACAATCCCTTCTCCTCCATTCTCCTCTTGGGATTTTGGGCATGCATGCACACATATCCAGTGTGACTTTTAAGCCACTGGGCCCTGGACTTGAACCACGGTCGACTATGTGGGAGTCCAGCGAAGTAACCATTACACCATCTGTTGGTCCTCAGTCTATTTACTTTGGTAGAGGAGGGGGGAGAGAGAGAGAGAGAAAGACAAGCACCCTCAATGTGGTCTCATGACACAATCTCCCACCCCCCAGCTGTTCAGCCAGCTAGAATCACAGGCACATAATGCATGCCAGGCATGTACGGGTAACCCAGGAAATGAACCCTCATCGCAAATATGGCCTCCAACATTAGAGCATTATATTACCACTGCACTGCCATAGCTGGGCCTCTACCCGGTTTTCATGGCATCTTTTTTATTGTACATATATTACAGGTTTTTTTCTTCATTTGCCATAGGATGTGGGCACTTTCAAGGAAGACTGAGGGAGGGAATGTGAGAAAACAGCCCCCAGGGGGATGGCCACAATTGCAATCTCTTCTCCTCCATTCTTCTCTCGAAGGTTGAGCACAAATGCATACACCTGGCTTATCTTTCAAGCCACTGGTTCTGGGACTTGAACTGTGTAGTTAGCCATGTGGGATCCAGTTGCCCCAACCACCATGTCATTAGCTGATGTTACACATATTTTAATCTCCCAATTTTAATTATTTGAAAAATAAGTATTTTGTGTGTGTGTGTGTATTTAATTTTGTATCTGATAATATTAATAACATCATCTGGTCTTTGCAGATCCAGGTCATCTTCATTCTGCTGGCTTGGATCCTAGGTACATTTTATTACCCTCAAGTGTTTTGTCATTTTTCACTGTAGGTTCATATTGTTTGGAACTTAATCTGTGAGACTATTTTAAGGTCTGAGTAAGAGGCATTCTCTGTAAAACTATTTGCTTTGTACATCTTGTAAAGACAATTACAAACTAGAAACACTGTAAAATAAACTTCTCTATGAGGATTTTTGATAAACAGTAAGTAAAGGTTTGGGTCATAAGCCCATATTGCGTTAGTTTGTTGTTCAAAATACTTGGGAGTTATTATTATTCCTACCTAAAGATGAGGCAGAGTAAGGGAAGTTTCCTTCAGCATTCTTTTTATTTTTTTCTCCCCTTTTCTTCTTTGTTTCTTTCTTTTCCTTGTTCTTGGTTATAATTTTTTTTTCACTATCTTGGCATCATGTTTATTTTTTATTTTTTTATATATGTAAGCCTGTATTTATATGTATCTTATAACTGGAATGACATTTTTAGCTGCTACATTATGTGAAATGGAAGTCATCATTTTTTTTTTCTTTTCTCCTTTTCCTTCACTCTTTTACATTCAATCACTGTGTATCATTACAATATACCAAATGAATTTTTCCTTCTGAATACACTGTATATTGATACAGTCAAAGACTTTTTTTTTTTAGAGGTTTTTGCTATAGGGTGCATGCGTTCTTCAGAAAGACAGAGAGAGACAGAGAGATAGAAAGTGAGAAATCATCCCCCAGGGGGACAGCCATGCCGCAATCCCTTCTCCTATATTCTCCTCTCGATCTTGGGCATGCACGCACACGCGTCTGGTGTGAATTTAAAGCACTTGGTCCGGGACTTGAACTACTATCGACTACATGGGAGTCCAGTGACATAGCCATTATGCCAACTGCTGATCCCTATTCAGTCGAAGATATGTATTACCATACATATTTTCATCAACAGATAATTCTCCAGTTTTTGTGTTTTTTTAAATGTTTTCTTTTTCTTCTTTGTTCCCTCTCTCTCACAGTGTCCCATTTCCCACCCTCCTCCAACACTGTCTCTAGTTTCACCATATTAATCATTCTTCCAAAAACACACTAGATAATGTAAAAAAAGAAAAAAAAAAACAGATAAATTTATCAAAAGGTGCTATGGCAAAAGACAGTAATGGGTATTGAAGGTACACTATCTCACATTGTTTTTTAACACCTAATGTATTGCTAAGACAATAGATTTAGCTTTGCTTGATATAAATATTTATTACATAATTCCCTTTGAGAAGTTAGGCAATTGACTTTAACCAGCATTAGCCTCAGGATAGTAGAGATAGTCTATGTATCATCCCATTTTATACAGCCAAATGTGATACCTTAAAATAGTCTTTATAATCTGTCATTTTGTCTCAAGAAAGGTCGGTTTGTTTAATAACCTTTCAGTGACTGAAATTCATAATCTCTGTGAATTTGAACATTATATATCAAAAGACTACAAGGACTATTCCAGATAAGAATAAATGAACTTCAGAGAATTGCTGTGTAGAGATATTCAATAAATAGGATTTTCTCTGATATCTATACAGGTTAAAGAACCAGCATACACATTTCTGCATTAGGATTGTAGAATTTTATACTTTTAGAGAGTGGATTTGGAAGTTGGTATAAATTATAAATATTATTAAATTTTAGCTTTTGAATATTTTATCTTATAGGTGTTGAAAAGTCCCAGTTGTTTTCCTCACACTTCAGAAGAGATCTGTTCATGCAACTGTACAGCTCCGTTTGGACACGTCTCAGACACCTGCATTCTCACTCTCTCATCTCCAAAACTCCTTCTCTTCCCAGATAGCGCTCCCATGATAGCCAAAACTCAGATAAAAAACCTGAGTGTCATCTTTTTCCTTCTTCTCTCTCAAGTCACATATCCAGTCCATCACCAAGATGTTTTGAATCCCCTCTCCCTCCTCCTTTTTCTTCTTCTCTAGTACCTATCGTGTACGTGTACTCCTTAGATAAAAAGATTAAGCACCCTCCAAAGGGGTGTGGTCATGCTGGAATCACCCTTCTCCCATTTTTTCATCCATTTGGGGTTTGAGAAACATGTGCCCATGTGTCCGGTATATTTTTCAAGCAGCCAGTGCTGGAATGCAACCTGCAGTTGGCCATGTGAGATCTGGCTCCCTTTGCACAGCACCTAACTGGTATACTACTGGGCCAGCTCAACCCACCACTTCTCACCTAAGATATTGCAAAAAGAGTGCAGTGGCTTCCTTGTCTCCAGTGGAATAATCTCGCCAGCTACCCTAGTCAGAGTGGTCATGTTGAAGTATGAATCAATTCACACATCTGTGAGAACTTTCAGAGATTCCCTGTCGCTCTTAGTATCAAGATTGATCTCTTTACCCAGGCTCTCAAAGGCATTCGTAAACTGGTTCTGCTTTCCGAGGAGTCTCATCGGCAATCTCTTGGCCTTTAAACAACTTGTTTTCCTTTGCTTTGTCCTACTTTTCCATGATTAATGACAATTTCTACTTCAAATCTTTTTTCTTTTCTTTTAATTTGCTAGAAGGCACATGTGTTCACCAGAGAGAGAGAGAGGAAAAGTGAGAGAGCAACTCTCCCCTCTACCATGTGGAATAGTCTCACCATGATATTCTCCATTTCTCTTTTGGGGGTTTGGGGCATACACACAAATGTGCATGGCATGTTTTTCAAGCTGTAACTGGGACTTGAATGATTCAGTTGGCCATATGGAATCCAGCTGCCTTAACCACCATGCCACTGGTTGGCCCTGTATTTTAACTTTTAATTTAGAAGCTATTCTTTTAGAAAACTTTGCCTGACACTCAAGTCCAATTTAGACACAAATCCTACATATTTAACCTCCTGTACTTCTTATCATGCTGCAATGTAATCATGTATCTATTTGTATATTCTCCTTACAATCAAAACTGTGAATTAATAGATTTTATCTATTTATTTCTTCCTTCCACATTGTGGAATGATATAACTAGATTTAAATATGAAAGTTTGAAAATCATATTTTGGTTGTAAGTAATTCTGTGTGTCCAGCACAGTTCCTTGAACAGTGATGGCATTAAATAGTTGCAAACTAGTTGAATAAATGCACTAAATAATAAATGCAATAAAGTCTTGGTCAGAGAGACCATCACCTATCATGTTGACAAGCTTGGACTTATTCTTTATGTTGATTCTTTTATCTCAGGAAGTATTGGAATTCACTAAATTTACTAAAAAATCACAGTATAAACACAATTGATTAAGATATCATTTAAATACTGGGTTGTCTGAAAAGTCATGACGCATTTTTTGCACACTAAAACAGAAAAATATGTCATGACATTTCCAATGACCCAATACTTCAATTAAAATTAATACTTAAATTTACATGGCTTAAGTCAAAACAACATTTTAGTGAAGTTTTCTTTGCACTCTTACCAGAATATGAAACAAGTTTATCTATGCTTATTTATTCTTGCCAGCACACATTACAAACTCAGCAGAGCTTCCTTCAAGGAAATTACAGAAGTGATTAAAGACATAGGAATGCATACAATTATATAGAGAAAGCAAAAGGAAAAGGGGTAAAGGATAAAGTTTTGGGGACTATCAGATTTAAGGAAAATTTGCTGTTGACAACTTGATCAAGACACAAACCAGTGTTAAATGCAAGAGTAAAACTTGGAGACGGTCATGTGGAAAATTAAGCGTAACATATGTTGAAAATAAGGGAATGTTAAATGCTATAGGGAGATAGAAAAATTGAAGTTTGAAAGGTGTTTATATATTTTTTTTTAATTTAAGGCATCATTGCTAACCATGAAAACTGCAATTTCGGTAGAAACTGAGGCAAAAACCAGGCAGTTATGAACTATGTTGTGAATAGGAAATGTTAAGAGGAAAAGTGAGACTTATTCTCACAGAAAACCTAAATGCCCAGGGGGAGAATACGTTTCTGGAATGATTAAGACTCACATCCTCAGTAGACACTTTCTCAATTAAAATGATGTTTATGCAGTGGATGTAGCACTATATTTTTTACTTCTTTTGGAACAAGAGCACCAATTTAAAAAATTCCTACTTTTAGTTTTCTCTTTGTACTTTTGTTTTTTCTAAAAATTTAAGCAAAATTTATTGTAAATATCATGAACTATCAGAAACAAAATACTTAGTGATGCAAAATCAGTGTGTATGATATTCTTTTTTATTATCTGTGCCTCTCAAAATGTTATATTGTTATTTGTTTCTGAGTTTAAAAAATCAGCATTTATATAATAAAGAGGAGTTATTGTTGTTTTTATTAACTGTTTCACCTCAAAGAACATTGTCTTATCTGTTATAAAAATTAATTTAATCATGACACTTAAATTGCCAAATGTGTGTGTGCACATGTGCATATGTGTGAATGTGTACATCTGTTTCTGGACATATATGTGTATGTGTGTGTATGCATTGTTTCCTATTGTAAACAATATAGCATGTACGTCGCTTTGTAGTATGTCTGAGCATTATACAAATTTATCAATGATAATTTTATGACTACTGACTTTATTTCCTCTTTGCAAAAGTATTTAGACTTTTACTTTGTAACATAAAAAGCTTTATATTTTATATATTCCTATACATGAACTATAAGAGTTACTGATTCAATAACAATATTCTTTTAATTTTTTTCACAAAGAATAAAAATATGAGAATGGCTTACTATAAGTGACATATTCCAAAATACTTTTCAACCATGAACATAATCATTCCAGTCTTAATATTGATAAAGATTTTGCTCTAAATACTGATAAAGATTTATATACATTGAAAATTTTAAATAGTACTTGCTGATATTTAATACCAGTTTTTGCAAATAGATTTAGTTTTATAATTTTCCACTAATTGCATCCTTCATAAATTTAAGATTATATCAGATTTAAATCTTTCAGGGTTGTCAAACAATGGAAAAGTGAAAATCTACTCATGCTTAAACGTATTTGTTTTCAGAATTTTTCTCTTGTGACTGACTTCAGACATGGGGCTAACCATATTTTATTCACTGGACATTTTGCTTCGGCCTAGTAGGAGATCACAGTGAATGGCAGTGTGGAAACCACTTACAGTACTGAGGAGCTAGTGCTTGATATTTCATATAAGAGGCTCCTGTGGATTTGGCTCCAATTTTCTTTCAGCCCCACTAGTTTTCTTTTTATTGCTATGCTGCAAAGGATAAAAGATAAAGAAGAAAAGGGAAGCCCCACTTAAACACACCGAGAAGTTGCTAGGGTTCCTCTGTCTTGCGGCAAAGTTATTAAAGCACCTACACAATGCCCGTGGATAGAGGAGCACATGTGGCCTTCCATAGCAATAGTAGTAATTATAATTGGCACCATGAACTAGGAAGTATGAAGGAATAAAAGGGAGTAGGGATCATGACATATCCTTTATGGACTTAATGATAAATGCCTTTGAAGCCCGTTCCAATTAAGGGCAAAGAGATCAAGATAACGAGTACTATGTAAATAATTGCATCAGGTGAAGGAGGAAGAATGAATCTACGGATCAGTTGATAGCACGGTGGTTAAGGCAGCTAGATCCCATATGGCTGAGGGAGCAGTTTGAGTCCCATATGGCTGAGAGAGCAGTTTGAGTCCCAGACTTGGTAGCTTGAAATCATGCCAGGCATGTGTGGATACATTGCCAAAATCCCAAGAGAAGAATGGAGAGAAGGGATTGCAGCATGGACATTCCCCTTGGGGGTGTTTTCTCACTGTCCTCTCTTTTTCTGTCTCTATCTCTGGCAAGCACACACGTCCTATAGCAAATGAAACAAAAAGAAGAAGAAAGTAAAAAAAAAGAAGAAGAAGAAGAAATGACTTTATGTCTTAGTCAGAAGTTTTCAATTGTATTTTTCCTTCATTAACTCTCCAGAATTTCATTACTATATCTTGTCTTGTACAGATAATTTCCTTTCCAATTGCTAGTATATGCCTCAAAATCTATTATCTTCATTAAATACATTTTTTTCTTTCAAATCTAGCTCTTGGTTCTCATTCATATTGAAAAACTTTGAGATATCTTTGTCTTATCTTTCTTTGTCTTCACTTCTTTCTATGTTCTTTGTTCTCTCTGTGATTTAGGACTAAATCTCTCCAAGTTTAAACTGTTGAAATAATTTTCTAACTGTGCTCATAATTTTTAGTTTTTCTTCCAAATGATACGACAGAGCTTAGTAAATTTAGTTGTTGTTTTTTTTTTTTTTTTTTCACACATGCCCCACGTGAGTTTAAGCCACCGGGTCCAGGACGCGAACCGTGGTCGACTTGCATGAGAGTCCAGCGACATAGCCATTACGCTAACTGCTGGTCCCCAGTAAATTTAGTTTTTAGAACAGCCCAGGTACAACTTCTTTTTTCTTGGTTTCCTAAAGAAGTAAGTGTCAGAGTTCAAGCAGTCAGTGATTATCTACAAAAGATTAAAATAAAAAGTCCACTGATTTTCTTGGCTTTACTTCCTTCCTTGAAACTTTTAAATCTCTTGTTTGTGGATAACATTACACACATTGTGAGCTGTTGTATTGCATGTAATTACATAAAGTATAAATACACCCGGAAAGATAATCGACGCTGAACTGGATTCTGCATTCTTTGTTCTAGCGAAACACGTCTATCTTTTCACAAGCGTCCCTCACACTGTTCTGTCTCTGTGCTTTTGCTCTAGGGCTCCAGGGTTCCAAGAGTTTCCTTCCTATAATTTTCTATGTGTCCAGCTCTGGGGTTCAAGTGCCATCTATTCTTTGAAGTTCCTCAAATATCTCTACCTACAGAAGTTCTCTTTTTTTCTGTTTAAAAGTTGATAGTTCTCTTATAGTGTGAGCACACACACATACATTTTTTAAAATCTCTTT